AACCACTTTGGAAAATAGTAGTTCCTCGAAAAGTTAAACTGGATTACCCTATGACCCAGCAATTCCATTCCTAGGTACATACCCAAGAGAAATGAAAATATATGTCCACATGAAAACATGTATATAAATGTCCAGGGCAGCAATCTTCATAATAGCCAACATGAAAACAACCCAAAACCCCAGGGACTGAGAAATTGATAAATAAAATGTAGTATAACAATACAGAAGCCCTGATATGGCGCTATAGAATAAGCACTGGACTGCTAATCACAGGTCGACAGGTCAAATCCATCAGACACTCCTTAAAAACCATTTACAGGGCCACTATGAGTCAGAACCAACTTGATGGTACTTAATAACAAAAACAGCTACACAGTAGAGATAGATTGACGCTGTAGTTGCAACAATGGGCACAAACAGCGATGAATGAGGATGGAGCAGGACTGGGCAGTTCTATGCAGTGGACGTATTTTATACTCATGAAAAGTAATGAAGTACTCATACATGTTACAATAGGAATGAACGTTGAAAGCATTATACTGTTAAAGAAACCAGTTACAAAAAACCAGTATTATATGATTCCATTTATATGAAATGTCAAGGAGTCCTAGTGGCACAGTGATTAAAGTGTATGACTGCTATCCAAAAAGTCAGCAGTTTGAACTCAGTAGCAATTTCACAGGAAAAAGATAAGGCAGCCTGCTTATATAAAGAGTTACATCCTTGGAAACCCGATGGGACAGTTTTCTTCTGTCTTGCAGTGTCACTCTAAATTGAAGTGACTCTATGGTCTGAGTTTGGTTTTGATTTTATATGAACTATCCAGAATAGGCAAGTCTATAGAAACAAATTAGACTAATAGTTGCATAGGATTTACAAAGTGGCAACGGTGAGGGGATGGGAGGGTCCAGTGATATAGGGCCTCTTTTTGAGGTGAATAAAATATTCTAAAATTGATTTTAATGGTTGAAAAGTTTATAAATATGTTTTAAACTATTGATTATACAGTTTAAATAGGTGAATTGTATGGTGTGAGATATCTCAATTAAACTGTTACACTAAAGAAATTCAGGTTGCTGTACTCCACCTACAGAGATTCTAATTCAGTATGTCTAAGTGGAATCCAAGGAGCTCTGGTAGCATAGTGGTTATGAATTGGGTTGTGAACCGCAAGGTTAGCAGTTCAAAACTACCAGCTGCTCCTTAGGAGAAAGATGAGGGTTTCTGCTCCTGTAAAGATTTATAGCCTCAGAAATCGTGTTCAGGGACGCTATGGGTCAGAACTGACTCAATGGCACTTAACAACAACAAGTAGAATCCAAGAATTTGCCTTTCTTCAAATTTCAGTCTTCAAGTGATACTGAAGTTTCTGATCTGGAGACCACATTGCTTTAGAAAGTCTGCAGAAATTTACTTAGAAAATGAGCAGAGTACAGGAGGATAAGCAACAGCCAGGACCATAAGCAACACCACAGCACAGAAGTATTTATTGAACACACCACCACTAATGGTGAATAATGGATGCCGTAGCTGGTGTCACTGCTGTCAGTTGGACTAGCCCCAAACACTGCCTACTGGTACCACAGTCACTCTTGTCCCTGAAATAATGTTTCTAGTTTAAAATTATTCCACTTAACTGCTACTTTGTGCAGTGTTGCCATGTCTTAAAGCTCCATAATATTTCCAGCTGATTTGGGTTAAAGTTACATTATCAAAAAGCACTATTGAAAACCTATACTGATTACACTTCAGTATGTATTTGTTTTCAATGAATTCATGTATCTTTTCATGTTTTAGATTATATAGAATGTACACTGGTTGGAGAGCAGTTATTTAACTTTTTTTTAATCCCTGTTCAGCCACTTTTCCAGGTATGTGGGAGAGAACAATAACAATAGGAAGTGCTGGAAAGACTTTCAGTGTAACTGGCTGGAAGGTAAGATGCGTCAGAGTTGTATTGCTTAGAAATAGCAAATATGGTCTTTGTTGTTGTTGTTTTAAAGTGTTTTGTACTTTTAATCATATATAAAGAGACCTGGTACTATAGTGGGTTACGAGTTCAGCTGCTAACCACAAGGTTGACAGTTCAAATATACCATACACTCCATGGAATTAAGCTAAGGTTTTCTGCTTATGTAAAGGTTTGCAACCTCAAAACCCCTATATAGGGTCTCTATAAGTCAGTACCAACTCTATGGCACACAATCAAAACCACCACCACAACCAATGCATATATAGTCAGTTGACACAGGTTTTTCTATTTACTGATCTTTCACTTTATTTTTTTCATTCAGCTTTGATGTTGACCATTATTCTCTATGGGGCCTAGTCATTTCTTTACAAGTGACCAAGTAATGACCCTTTTTGTGTTGCAAAAAATGTTTTTTGTTGTTAGATGCCATAAGTCAGTTCTGACCCATAGCAAACCCATGCACAACAGAACAAAACGCTGCCTGGTGCTAAGCCATTCTCACAGCTGTTAGGTTTGAGCCCATTGCTGCTGCCACTGTATCAATCAGTCTTATTGAGGGTCTTCCTTTTTTTCACTGACCCTCCACTTTACCAAGCATGATGTCCTTCTCCAGGAACTGGTCCCTCCTGGTAACATGACCAAACTATGAGCAATGAAGTCTTGCCATGCTGGTTTCTAAGGATGTCCTTCTTCCAAGACAAATATGTTTGTTCTTCTGGCAATTCATATTACTTTTAATATTCTTCTCCA